GCACACACACACACACACACACACCCACACCCACACCCACACCCACACCCACACCCACACCCACACCCACACCCACACCCACACCCACGCACGCACGCACGCACGCACGCACGCACGCACGCACGCACGCACGCACGCACGCACGCACGCACCCACACACACACACACACACACCCACCCACCCACCCACCCACCCCACACACACCCACACCACACACACCCACACCACACACCACACACCACACACCACACACCACACACCACACACCACACACCACACACCACACACCACACAACACACAACACACAACACACAACACACAACACACAACACACAACACACAACACGCAACACACAACACACAACACACAACACACAACACACAACACACAACACACAACACACAACACACAACACACAACACACACACACACAAACACACAAACACACAAACACACAAACACACAAACACACAAGCACGCAAACACACAAACACACAAACACACAAACACACAAACACACAAACACACACAAACACACAACACACAACACACAACACACAACACACAACACACAACACACACACACAACACACACCACACACACAACACACACACACCACAGACTCACCACACACACACACCACACACCACACACACACACACCACACACACACACAGACACACCACACACAGACACACCCACCAGACGCATCACACGCACCACACACACACACACCAGACGCATCACACGCACCACACGCACCACACGCACCACACGCACCACACGCACCACACGCACCACACGCACCACACGCACCACACGCACCACACGCACCACACGCACCACACCCAGTTGGACACACAACACACAGCACGCAACACACAACACACAACACACAACACACACACACTACACAGTGTTGCCCCTCTATGTCTGCAAATATCAACATTGCGCATCTTTGCACTCACCAAGGCCCGTGAGGTTCCAATTCCCGTTGAGTCGGGTCGACCGCACAGCTTTGCCCAAGGGAAGTAGAAGATCGGGATGGGTTTTGGCTGAAAGCCATCCTGGGCTTGTCTGGGGCTGAACCTCCAAAACCTGCACGCCCAAGCCGCTCGCACTGACCCGAACAAGCGAAGCAAAGAAGCGGGAAAAGTTGTCTGCAGGAGACTTTGACTTCTTCGGCGCCTATGGCTATGAGCCCAACAAGGACAACACGCCGCCGGGCCAGCTGGACAGCACGAGGACGTGAGCTCGCCGGAACTTGGGTCAAGTGAACCCCGAAAGCGGGGAGTGCAGCCCCACAGATCTTATCGCGTTTGTCTTGGGAGGCGGTGCGCCGAAATCACCGAAAGAATCGGGTTTGTTTCAGAATAAAGTGGGTGGCTTCCTGTTGGTTCCGTTTAAAATTTGCCAACAGGTGCCCTCGATAAAAACAAACACACAGAATGAGGGTGTGGGGTACTTTGAAGCCACATTCAGTGATGATCACAGGTGAGGGTGTGGGGTACTTTGAAGCCACATTCAGTCATGATCACCGGAGAACGCTTGCATCTTTGTAGCCCCTTGCAATACAGCAATACACAAAATTTGACACATCTTGATTGCCTGATCAACATATCCAGCATCCCCTCCCAAAAACGGATCACCCAACCATTCAGGCGTTGGGCCTTCTTTGACCGCTGAACCTGTAACCCCCTAGGTGTCACCGAGCGTTCCGGCAAGGCCCCTTGGCCGCGATCCATCTCTTCAACCCCGCCAGATCCGCATTCTTCACAAATCGGAACTCGGGAATCATCCTCAAAGAAGTCCTAAGGCCACTGGAACAAAAAATGCTGGGAACGTCCACTGGACAAAAAGGAGAAACTATTTCCAGGAGTGAAATCGATTCCTTTTAAAAAACAACATGGGGGAAATAAATAAAGCCATAAATCAATATATCAATATAGATGTATCTTTATATATATATATATATGCATATACGTGTAACATTTCAGCAGGGGTAGATTGTATCTGAAACCAACAATCTGCACCTGACGTTTCGGGGTTTCTGCTGGGTCCCATTGGGCACTGGCTGGTGCTTGGAAACCAAGCCCTTGCGAGTGTGAAGTACTCCCTCCCAGACAGCCCCCATGAAATCTCTCGGAGGAACCTCCTGTCCTACTACAGCGGCCGGCGCATGTGGCGGATCTTCAGCCTTCTGAGCCCCGAAGAGGGCGCAAAGCTGGACCCCAACTTGGGGAACCTGCCCAAGACCAAGCGCCTCGCATCGCCCACCCAAACCCACCCACCCACCCACCCACCCACCCACCCACCCACCCACCCACCCACCCACCCACCCACCCACCCACCCACCCACCACCACCACCCAACCCACCCACCCAAACCACCACCCAAACCAAAAACCACCAAACCCACCCACCCACACCCACCCACCACCCACCCACCACCCACCCACCCAAACCCACCCAAACCCAACCCGCAACCCCAAACACCCCCAAACCCCACCCACTGGGTTTCCGCCCGCCCAAACCCGGGTTGTGCCAAGAACGGACCGGTGAGCCTTTCCTTTTCGATTGCGTCTGTGTGTGCGTTGTGCTCCTTTGTGTTTGCAGGCTGCAGAGAATTCGAACAGCGCTGAGCATAATGTAGCAGTCACCACTTCGGAGCTCCTGCATGCCGATCGCCAAATACTGGGCACCATCGTCGACCTGCTGCAGCGCAAATGGTCCATGGACGATGCATTCCATGAGCTCACGCATGGCCGCATGGAAATACACTCCCTGCTCATGCTTCGCCCAAGGACAAGCAGACAGCCCCTAGCGGCGCAGCCGGTGAGCTCTTTCTTTTCCGTAACTGCGTCTGTGTGTGTGTGTGTGTTTTTGTGTGTTTGTGTGTGCGTGCGTTGTGCTCTTTTGTGTTTGCAGGCTGCGAAGAACGACCCGAAGCGTTCAGCACCGGTGAGCCTTTCCTTTTTTGGCGATTGCGTCTGTGAGTGCGTTGCGCTCTTTTGTGTTTGCAGGCTGTGGAGAACAGCGCTAAGCATAATGTACCGGTGAGCTATTTCTTTTCTTTAACTGCGTCTGTGTGTGTTTGTGTGTGTGTCCGTTGTGCTCTTTTGTGTTTGCAGGCTGCGAAGAACGACCCGAAGCGTCCAGTACCGGTGAGCCCTTCCTTTTCTGCGATTGAGTCTGTGTGCGTTGTGTTTCTTTGTGTTTGCAGGCTGCGGGGAACAGCGCTAATACTGCACCGGTGAGCTCTTTCTTTTGCGTCACTGCGTCTGTGTGTGTGTGTGCGTTTGTGCGCGCGTGTTGCGCGTGTGGGTGTGCAGGCGACAGATGCGTGGGCCGCTGCTAAGTCATCGGGTGGCTTTGCAAATGCTTCGTTGCTTTTTGCGTCGTTTTTAGCTAAGCTGTGCGCAGGCGTGCAAGGGCGCGAAGGAGGCGCTGAAGAAGCACTCCCGCCGGGTGAGTACGTTCATCCTAGATCCTTTTTGGTTCGTGGCGCGTTAAGGTGAAGAAGCCGGCCAAGCAGATCGGCGGAAATACCAAGAAGGCGCTCTTCGTGAGGGTGATGCGCCTGAAGGTTCCCTGAATTTTCTTATGATGCTGGAGATTGCTTCGTGCTGGTGATGCTAGGTCGCTCGGATGAGCAAGGGGCGGTGCAAAATGAGCACCAAAGCCTCGGTTGTCCTCCGTCTGGCGCGCTTCAAAAAATGGTTGAACTGCCAAATGCGAGCGGTGTTTTGGGCCTCTTTGGAAGGGTCCAACAGCCAGATGGCCTCATCCCTTTCCTATGTGGAGAGGATGGGGCCATCGAGGACACTGTGTCCGAGAAGGGGCTTGATGACGAGCCATCCGACTCGGAGAGTAGCGATGATGACCCGCTGCCAGCCGAAGTGCTGGCGGCGGAGGTGGCAGCAGACGCGGACGACGCTGCCGCCGAACGCGAAGGCGCAAAGAAGCGCCCATACTTGCGCCGCGCAAAAACAATAAGACTCGTCACTCGCAACTTGCGACCGCGTGTTTGCGGGGCTTGTGTTTGCACTTGTGTGCGCGCGCGCCTGGCTTGCCACTCGCAACTTGCGACCGCGCGTTTGCGGGGCTTGCGTTCGCGCTTGTGTGTGTGTTGTGTGTGTGTGTTTGTGTGTGTGTTTGTGTGTTTGTGTGTTTGTGTGTTTGTGTGTTTGTGTTTGTGTGTTTGTGTGTTTGTGTGTTTGTGTGTGTGTTTGTGTGTGTGTGTGTGTTTGTGGGTTTGTGCGTTTGTGCGTTTGTGCGTTTGTGCGTTTGTGCGTTTGTGCGCTTGTGCGCTTGTGCCTTTGTGCGCTTGTTCGTTTGTGCGTTTGTGTGTGTTTGTGTGTTTGTGTGTTTGCGTGTTTGTGTGTTTGTGTGTTTGTGTGTTGTGTGTGTGTTGTGTGTGTTGTGTGTGTTGTGTGTGTTGTGTGTTGTGCGTTTGTGCGTTTGTGCGTTTGTGCGTTTGTGCGTTTGTGCGTTTGTGCGTTTGTGCGTTTGTGCGTTTGTGCGTTTGTGCGTTTGTGCGTTTGTGCGTTTGTGCGTTTGTGCGTTTGTGCGTTTGTGCGTTTGTGCGTTTGTGTGTTTGTGTGTTTGTGTGTTTCTGTGTTTCTGTGTTTCTGTGTTTCTGTGTTTCTGTGTTCGTGTGTTTGTGTGTTTGTGTGTGTCTGTGTGTGTGTGTGTGTCTGTGTGTGTGTGTCTGTGTGTGTCTGTGTGTGTCTGTGTGTGTCTGTGTGTGTCTGTGTCTGTGTGTCTGTGTGTGTGTGTGTGTCTGTGTGTCTGTGTGTCTGTGTGTCTGTGTGTGTGTGTCTGTGTGTCTGTGTGTGTGTGTCTGTGTGTGTGTGTCTGTGTGTGTGCGTTTGTGTTTGTGTTTGTGTTTGTGTTTGTGTTTGTGTTTGTGTTTTCGCTTGTGTGTGTGCCTGCGCGCATGTGTTTATGGCGTTGCTCCGTCGAACTCCCAGGACCGTTATCTTGGCGCGTCGCGTTGATCTGTTTGCGCACATGGATTGTCAGGTGGAAAAATGGAGGCGGGGTATATTGAAAAGCTACGATTGATAGTTAAGTGTGACTTCCCGAAGCACGCTGAGTCGGGCGCTTCCGACCCTTAGCTTGGCTGTGCCGAGCCAACTTTCAAAAGCTTGGAGCCAATTTGCTTTTCCCTCGAGGGTCTTCGTTGTCATTGCGCATGGCAGCCGGGTCAGCCTGAGCCTGCAGATGTTCATTTCACATTTCACCCGCCCAAACCCACCCACCCAAACCCACCCACCCAAACCCACCCACCCAAACCCACCCACCCAAACCCACCACCCAAACCCACCCACCCAAACCCACCCACCCAAACCCACCCACCCAAACCCACCCAAACCCACGACGCGCGATCGTGAAAGCAGACGCGCGAACCACGAGACAACTTCCAAACACCGTCGCAAATGAATTAACACCTCGCAGCGGCCCTGTCATCACAAAGCGCCCTTTGCTGTCAAAAAACGTGTTTTGCACGAGGCCTCCTCAAAAACAACACCCGCGTCTGTGAACTTGCGTGACCCGGGTTTTGCGCGGTAATTAAGGGAAGGGTGCAGCAATTAAGCCCGAATCATTCCCGGAAATAACTTTTGGGACATGTCTGAACAACGGCGAGCAACGGAAATAGCGACGATAAACTGTCCAATTTGGGGGGGTGCAACTCAGGATTTGTTGGGCCAAAAAACCCACAATTTCAGATGCTGTTTGCTTCATGTGTTTCAGACCAAAAAATGAAATTTCCCGCTTGGGAACTTTTGCAAGGGCAACGTACCTTAATCGCTGACCCCCCTTGAAACCCAGATGAATTACGCAAGTTCGCTTTGTAAATTTGGTGGCGAAAGAAGCTGTCGTGGCGAAAGAAGCTGTCGGGCGGCAGGAGCCGGCTTGGGGGCGTGCCAGGTGGCTCCCTGCCTGGTCGAAGCCTTCGATCAAGGGCACGACTTCGGTCTGGCCATGAAGGACTCTGCTGTAGCCCTGCGACGTTTTGTCGTCTCGTTTCCTCGTTTGCAGATCGCTTGACGGTTTTTGCTTTTGCCTCTTGCGCAGAAAGCGAACTGTTGGTCACGAAATCTAGCTGCATTAGCTTCAGCCGCAATGCCTGATTGAGTCAGAAGCGAGTGAAGAGATCTTTTCCTGGACGGCGCGATCACCGCCCACCCACCCACCAACCCACCCAAACCCAAACCCAAACCCAAACCCAAACCCAAACCCAAACCCAAACCCAAACCCAAACCCACACCCAAACCAACCCGCCCAAGCCCAAACCCACCCAAACCCACCCACACCCACCCACACCCACCCAAACCCACCACCCACCCAAACCCACCACCCACCAAAACCCACCACCCACCCAAACCCACCACCCACCCAAATCCACCACCCACCCAAACCCACCACCCACCCAAACCACCCAAACTCACCCAAAAACCCACCCACCCAAAAACCCACCCGCCCAAAAAACCCACTCACCCACCCAAACCCACCCAAACCCACCCAAACCCACCCAAACCCATCCACCCAAACCTAGCCACCCAAACCACCCACCCAAACCCACCCACCCAAACCCACCCACCCAAAAACCCACCCACCCAAAAACCCACCCACCCAAAAACCCACCCACCCAAACCCACCCACCCAAAAACCCACCCACCCAAGCCCACCCACCCAAGCCCACCCATGTTTGACCTCTTTTGCGAATTGCAGAGTACACCAAGGTGAAAGCAAATGGCCGAATTCCCTTTCTGTCGGTAAGGACTGAGAGCGATCGTAGTGTTAGGGGCCAAGTGAGCCGGCAGCGTCTGCCCCTAACCCAAGACGCATGGCCTCAAGGTAATGCTATCACGAGGATTAAGGATAAACAGGGAATCGATGCCGTTTGTTTCCCCGCCCCCCGCCCCCCCCCCCCGAGGGAAATTGCTCGACAAGATGCAAGATGGATATTGCTCGACAAGTCTGTGCCCATTTTGGCCTCAAGAATTCCTCAATCCGAGGACAAGTCACAAGTCGCCCAATTTTCTTTGATACCTGCCTTGGCCTCAAAAAGTCCTCTCTCCAAACACATCGGAAGACCAGTCGCGTGCAGAATTCTCACTTCCTGAGTCCATGATCTTTAAACTTTTTGGGAAGACCATTTTAGTGGTACATATAAAGGTTTGGCCTGTTTTTCAGCCATCCACGCCAGTGAGACTTTGCTTTGATATCGAGAGGCCCTGAGTTCCTTCGCTTTTCTGCGAAGGGGCGACTTCCGAGCTGAGGAATCCGTACCCGGCCTCCGTGAGGGCCCCGAAGCACTCGGTGACCCGAGCCATGGCTGCGGGCTGAGAGCGGAGCCTTTGCCGGGGCTCGGATTTTTTTGGGGGACTGTTGCGACCCCATATGAATCTCAAGCCCTGTTTAAGAATAGGGGGGGGTTGTGTTTAATAGTAGGGGGTGGTGGTGGGGTTTTTGTGTTTATTACCGTTGGCCCTCCAAAAGTGGTCTGATTCCCCACAAAGCCCAGGCACACCTTGCATCGAGGAACATGAGGTTTATGAATCTGGGGTCAACATTATGCCGTGTGTGAGCTGTGCCTAGTAAGTTCGCGTGCAGCACGCGGCCTGCGCCAAGGTGTGCGTGACCCCTGCTTCCGCACAGTTCCGTGATGTCACACATCAGAAACAACACTAACTGAGCTAGACTGTTTGTTCAGCTGGGTTGATTTGAAGGTAGGTGTTCCTGGTGTTCGGCACTGTGACACATATTCGCATCTTTTCGTTCCGCATGTTGCTGCTGCATCTTGAGCACGAGGATTTTCCGCAGCGCCGATTGTCTGTCTGGCAAGATGGCGAAGGTTTATCTCGCACCCCGTGTTTATGGACTTTCTTTTTGGGTTTGGGTCATTCCAATTGGTGGTATCCGGGAAACCCAAGTTTTAGCTTTGCACGCCATCCACTTCGGGAGTGAAAAACATGGCCTTTATCTTTTACTTCAGCCCCAGGTCATGAACGCTTTGCGGGACCACTACGAGGGCACTGCCTACGATCTTACAAAGGCCAAAGTGCGACACCGTGAAGGGGTCTCCTCCAAAACGGTGTTGGAGTTTTACCCACCCCAAAGCGAATCGACCGGATCTGAGCTTCTAGTTGCCTCATTTTGAGTTCGGTGCCCCAAGCGACCTCATCCTGGAACAAGGGCATATTCAGGTATGGGTTTTAGAAGTGTGGAGGATGCATACTATTTAAGGGGTACATACTATGTTGCAAGCTTATATTGGTGGCATACCAGCATCCATAGCTTCAAAACCCATACCTGGAAACGCTAATTAAGGGGGGCAACTGAAGGCTTCCCAGTCTTGTGACTTGGAAGGGGGGAGGATGGGATGCGCGGGGTGGGCTTTTCAAGCGAATTAGTTGGGTTGTAGCCCTAATCAAAGTATTTCCAGAGGGTTCCGGGGCTGTTGGGGATCTCACCTGGGCTTGTCTTTTGAGGGTTCCCTTTGCAGCTTCGTGACAACCATCATTCTCCCACTTTTTGAGACAAGACCGAATGTCGTGGAGGTTGGTCTAAAGCTCCATGATCCACTAGCACAGCCCGACTGTGCCATCGGGCAGATCACAAGGGCTTTGGGGGTTGAACGAGCTGGATGAACGTCGCGTTAGCCTCTGGTGCTGCTTGCCAGTGTTTTTCTGTGTTCTCCTTCTTGAGGCGGTACCCCTTCAAAGTCGACTTCTTAAACAAGCATAAGAGGTGACCGGAAGTGAACATTTCATAGTCTGCGTTGTTGTTCTAGGTGTTGATTCCCCATTCTGTTCAACCATCGTTCTTTTCAATAACCGGCTGTTTTCCCTGGTTTTTGGATGGTTTCCTGAAAAGATTCGGATCCCTGGAAAGAATGGGGAAGGTGCCTTAGAGTTTTCCTTTGGTGTCCCTGTGAAACCGACCAAGAACAAAAAGGACACTCCCAGTTCGAATGTTGGATTTTTAAGGTTGGACCCCCGAAATGGTGGGTTGTCCTATTGTCAGAGGTCCCCTTGGATGAGTTGCATAGCCGCATGGCAACGCATGGCAATGCATGGCTCCGGCAGGGCATGGCTGCTGGACCGCACGGAAGCCCCAACCGCGGGCCAGTGCACGCGCCAAACCTCAAGGCTGCGGACAGTTTGGTCCCTGTTTTGGGTGTCCTCGGAACTGAAACGTCTGCTGGGAACTCTCTGAAGTTCAGCCAAAACCTCCGGAAAGTACTTGTTCATAGATATATATATATATATATACATACATATATATATATATGTATATATATATATATGTATATTGACCTTTTTGGTGTCCTTCTTGATGGCTTTGGGACAGAAATAGATGGGTCCGGGCTCAGATGGGCACAGATGGCCCCATTGACCAGGGAACTCCATGTATCTTTCCAAAAGGTTACGTATGGTGGAAACTTGGAGAGGGTCCGAGAGGAATCCACCAGAATGGTGAAAGAAAAACGGTCACCATGTGGAAACAGCTGTAAGTTGGCTTTGCTTTTTGTGGTTTCTGCTGATGATGGGGAAGTAAAGGGAATGCCAGACAATTTGTGTGGGGTCCCTCTTTTTTCCCCGGGCCAAAAGGTAAACCCATCACGCTTGGGCTTCCCATCACGTTCAGCTAGTTGAGATACGAAAAAAAACATCGATTTCAGTTTGGTTGCGAGTCATTTAATGTGAACTGCGAGTAGTCCCGACCCTGATCACTTCCATACACAAAGGGGAGCCAGTTCCGCACACACACACACGAAGTGAACAGTGCCCTCCATTGTCTGAAAGGGCACCGAGTGTTTGGGCGCTGCCGAGTCTTGGTTTCTGTCAACGTTGGCTTACATAGAAGAAGAAGAAGCGCCAAGCCTCCCATGCAAGCGTTTGGCTGATGATGCGCGTACAAAAAGGCGCATCAAACAAGGCATCTTTGTTGCAATGCATGTGCATGTGCTTGATGGTGCTTCAGCAAGTGTTTTTTTGCCGGACTTTAAACGATGCTTCCTTGAACCCAAACTTAAATCAGTCACTCAGAAAAAGCGTGAGTAAGACATCATGTTTCAATTCCTTCATGGCAGGCGCTTAGGGCTGCTTGTGAAGAAGCAGCTGCCACCTGACCCATGCCACTTGATCTCATGCCCACGCTATCTTTGGACCTTTCGAATTGTTGCCAGCGTGGGGCCCAGTCACGCAGATCTACTTTATCCAACGGAGTTTTTCCAGTGACCGGCACCTTCAGGATTCACAATCAGGCAACTCCTAGTTTGTGGTTTGGGTTGGTTGAGGGTTTTGACGCCCGATCAAAGCACCGATTCGGCTCCGAACCACCAATCGGAAGCAAGCTGAAGTTAGGGTGGAGTGCACAAGCTCAGCGTTAGAATGCTTTGGATCCGAGATGCTTCAAACTGGCAGGCATCTTGCGGCTACGGGTAGCCCATTGCGTGTTGTTGTTTCCGCTTTGCTTCTCCGTGAAAACCACAATCACAAAGAAGGGGGCGCCAACTCCCAAAGAAAGAGTGCTACCTCATTCTGAATAGGGGACTCAGTCAGCTGACTGACTGGAGTTTGGATGTGGTGTTGTCAGACTCTTCTTGGGATTAGATACATCGGGAGGCCAGAAGGAGACCAAATCATTCCGAGAGCCCCCCTATTTTGACTATTTGCCCCAGTAGTGCCCTTTTACCTTTTTTGGGAGAGGGTCCCCTACTAAAATAGACAACAGAAGAAAGGGAAACCTTGTTCTAACCTCTCTACTGGAGGACCTAGTTGACACACACCTGTTTGCTTCGACCGGGCTGGTCCCCCCCCCCGTGCCAGGGCCAATGGGAGCGAGCGATCTCCATGTTCCGCACAGCCTACTCCTACGTGCAGCTCAGTCTGAGCTTACGGAAGGAACTGGGTGGCTCGTCGCTTTTGGAGTTGGTACCCATTTTGTTTGTGACCTTAAAGGGAATCCAAAAGGAAAACACACAATTTTCGGGGATCTCTAAACAAGGACAGCACCAAATCACTTTCGCACCAAAACCCGGCGACTTTTCTTGCCTTGGCGTCTGTTGGCAAAGGATTAGGGTAGCGATTGCTCAGCGAATTGCGTTCCACAAGACTTCCCGGTGAGCTTGTTTCGAGCCTTGCTGCCTGATTTGTCTACAACGATTGCGAAAGGCCTCCAGTCGCGTTTGGCAGGCCGCCAAAGCCACTTTTCCCGACAAATACAGTATGTTGGAAAGATTTGAGTTCCTGATGTGCAACCGGGTGCGGCGTCGCGGCGAGTGCTCGCACAGGCAATCATCTCAAACAAGCCACCTTTGCAAGACGCCTTGACGTGCGCTTTGTGCGGCTCGAGCTCCTGGCAGCTCGCCACACGGCTCTCTCTGCTGCAGCACATGGCACTCTTCAACCGACACCCTTCAACCGTTTGAGCATTGATCCATGTTCAACGTGGACCAGGAGCTCGCTTCAGATGCTCGGAAAGCTCGCCACACGGCTCATGTTGCCTGGCTTTTGCCTAAGGGCAGAAATCCGTGGGGCTAGCGGCAAGCAAATGCACGCTGCAGCGCCAGATCGGTGCAGTAAATCAGCTCTGCGTTGCTGCGGACCGGGGAGAGAAATGCGGCCGACTGAAACTCGCCGGACGGGCGCCCACGAGAAGTTTGTTCGCGGCGGCTTCAGAAGCGCGGCTTCCAGATCCTTGCCCATGAGAATCCGATGTTTGGTTTTCTTCTTGCGGCGCGGTGTCTTTTTTTTGCTTGGCCAACTTGGGAGGCTCGGCCAGGCTTTTCCATGTCTGAGCGCGTACGTTGGTTGCGGGGAGGGCCCTACTTTGGTGGTTTGGGCGTCGGGGGCTGCCTGCCCAATTTGGTTCCAAAAGCCATTCAGCAACCGCAAACTGGACGGTTGGGATCGGCGGTTTGGGTTTGCACCCCTGGTTCTTGTAGAGGGCAAGTGGGAACCCCGTCCTTAACCACCAAACCACCGATTCGGCCCCAAACCATTAAATAGAGGCAAGCTGAAGATGTAGCTGAAGATAGCAACAGGTCCATCTGGCCCCAAGTTTACCGAGCTTCCCAACTCGACGGATGTCAGAACTAGCAGCTTGGCTGTGCACAGCAGCTTGGACGGTGTGGTAAACATCACTCCTTGGGGTTGCTTTTGGGACAAGTGCCGAAGACCTTTTTTTCCCTCTCTCTCTCTCTCTTTCTCTCTCTCTTGGCTGAGCGTGAACCAACGAGTGGATTGCTTTGGGTCAATTGGCTTCCCATCCAAATGTATGAACGTATGCTGCAAACACTTATGCCCAACATCAGCATTCCTGCTTTGAATTGGCCCGCCATAGACCGTTTCACAGGGGGACACTGCAATTGGGGGTTTTGGGAGTCCATTGAAGTAACATTATCAAGATTTGTCTCTAACAGGTGCTTAGAAAGGGCTTCACCCCCTTATATGTCTTTTTAGGAACCCACCATAGCAGGCAACTCCTAAGTCGTAGCTTAGATTGGTTTGGGGACCACGCTTGGTTCTTTTAGAGGGCAAATGAGAAGCTGCCCCGTTATCTCCAGGACGCTGATTCTTGGTTGTGTTCTCCATTCTTTTGTGCGACGAACCCCAAAAACGTTTTTTTGTTTTGTTTTAACCAACCTTCCACTTAGTCGGATTGGTGGTTTGGCGGTTTGGTGGTTTGGTGGTTTGGTGGTTTGCCATTCACCCCGCACCTGGGAGAGATTGTTCAGGCCTCAGTTCCTTCACCAAACCAACTGGGGCAGGCCTTCCCGCGCCTTCCCGAGCCACCGGGAGTTTCAAAAATCCCTCGGCTGCTTCTTCTTTGTTTGTTTGCGGGTGTTTCCCGAGAGGTCCCGCAGGCTACGGGTTTTCTTTTCCTTTTTTCTTTGCAGATTTGTCCAGAGATGTCCTGCAGGCTATGGGTTCCCACTAAATCTCTTTTGCTGGTGCGATAGGCAGGGAATGACCATTCCAGGTGTTGGGAATGAACCGGCGATGGGGATTCCCGAGAAACGGAAACCACCCATTGGATGATTCATTTCTTTGTGAGCGGTCATTCCATTTCTCCTTCCCATTCCCTTGAAGGAAACCACCAGTTGGATGATATTTTTCTCGTCATTCCCTGCCTATCGCACCAGCAATCAGCTAACCCGTAGTCGGCGGTTTGGATTGGTGGTTAAGGATTTGAACCCCTGGTTCTCGTTGGGTAAATGGGAACCTACCCCTTTTCACAACCAAAGCACCGATTCGGCTCCAAACTTGTTCGGAGTGAAGCTGAAGTGATGGGAACCCACGCGGCTCGAGGCTGGAGCCGCGCCCTGGACGCCGCAGCTTGACATGGTTCGGATATGACGCGGCCCACGGCACCGTGTGGCTGCCGTTCTATGGGGTGACCTGGCACGGAGATGCCAGCCAACACGTCCACATGGGTTAGGTTTTTTTTTGGGGGATGCCCGTCGTTGTTTTTTTTTGATTTTCAGGAAGGGGGGGGGGTGGAACGGGAAACCAAAAGGGCAAGCAAAATCCATATTGGAGGGGTTCCCCAAAAGAAGCATTGGCGTAACATTTGGAGGGGTCCCCTCGTTGTTCAAAGCCGGCCTTTGAGCATGTTGGGTTGCTGCTGTTGGCAACCACTTTTAGTAAAGATTCCAACTTCCCCAGAATTAGCTCCCCTTTTTGCTTTTTTGCTTTTTTGGGGTTCCCTTTGTTTTCCACTAACCAGGCAAAAACATATGTTTTTTGCTGGGGTCCGAATTCCAGCCTAGCCAAAAGGTTGACCTTTTGTTTCTAGTTCCTTTGGGCAGGGGATGCCACACCCTTGTCCTTTGCCGAGCGACGAAGCCTTTGGAAGGGTCCCGAGTCCGCACCGCCGGGGAAACCCGACAATTTTCGGCATGACCGGTCTGCCAGCAGATGGACGGATACGCATTGATTGGCTGGCGCCCCTCTTCAGGGTCGCCCTGCCTAAATTGATGCTCTGGGCGAAGGACCTCCAAGGAATCATAGAGCAACACTACTGCGGATGGGCGCATTTTCCATTTCGCGCCACTTGGAAACCATAGAAACCATTCTTGGTCGGTAGAGAGGAATCATGTCATCATTCCAGGGTTTCTTAGGTGGTACAGGATTTCGTCCGTCCACAGTATGTAGCAGGCATAGCAGCATTGTCATTCTGGGATTCTAGTTGATTCCGAAGATCCTGGGCTGTCAAGTTTGGGATGCCCTTTGGGCTTTGTCTCCTGAAAAGTGTCCGAGTTGTCCCTTACGGTGCTTTGGCATGTTGAGGGCTTCTTCAAGATTTCGTTTAGGTCGGTGGTTTCCAGTAATTTTCGAGGATGTTTGATCTTGGTGGCTGCCAGCCATCCCCTTAGCCTTTAGCATTTTAGTGTTTAGTGGTGGTTTCCATTTGTCCCACTAAAAGTGAAACTTTTTAGCCGGGGATCTGAGGGCAGCCCAGTGATGTCTTGTCCAAAATGGAGCTAGTTGTACCTCCGCGCTGAGGCCAGCCCATTGAGTGCCCCAGCCACGCACACCGGACACAGCCTCAACATGTCCACCTTCAACATGGACGCAGGATGGTTGGTTTGAAAGGGAGACCAAAGGAACACCGGTCATTTTCTTTGGGTCCCCTGAAAACAGACACAAAAAGATGTGGTTGTCTTAAATGGCGCCCCGGCCAATATAATATAATATATGATATAATATAATATAATACATATTTATATATATATATACATGTATAGGTGGGTTTTCCTTTAGCTTCCCTTCAAACCCAGCCCCAGAAGAGCAGAATTGTTCGTCAACAGGCTCGGACGCCTACCTGAGCTGAACCGCGTTAAACCGCGGTCCGAAGCTTTGGTCGAGTCCATGGATGCTCTTTCACAGAGGGCCATGTTAAGCACACAAAAACCACCGAACCGCAGGCAGGGATTGGGCAGTTTGAATACCATGGAAGATGAGACTTGTTCTGGCTTGTGTGCTTGCTTTCCCAGTTTTCTACAGGCGGCTTCAAGCTTGCAAGTCTCGGGAGGATGGTGGGCCTTCAACTTGATCAATCAGTACTCGGACCTGAATTTCAAATCCATCAACGGGGAAGTGAAGAGGAAGGCCATCGAGATCGACAAAGAGGCTTTGGCGGCCATCGAGGCCGCGGAGCGCCCGGCATTGGGATTTTTCAGAATTTTCCTGCCCGGGTCTTTCACAGTTCAGTCCGGAAGAAGTTTTCCCAGGATTCGGAGAACACCAGAAACCCGTTTTCACGAAAGCTAGCTTTAGCTAGCTGAAGTTTCTCCTTGCGTAAGCAAGGTAAGGGGCTCAACTGCCGAAAGATTGATTTTTTCAGTTATTTGAGCCGAAAAGATTGACACAAAACAATTATTTAGACCCCCCCCCCCCTCCCCCCCCCCCGTCTCAGGCTCGATTCCTCCTTGGTCCACCCCTCCCCCCGGGCAGTGGCTCAGTGTTTCAGCAGTCTCGGTTTGCCCGTTTTGGACTTGGTGCTACGAACTTTTACATGTTCCACCGATTCAGCTTGTTCATTTGAGACCTCAGTCTTCTCAGTAAACCACCTCGCAAGAATCTTTGCACACGCAGCATGCAGAACCCAGAGGTGCTTTAAGACAGCTTCTGACGCCTCTCGTTGTTTTCATTTTTCAAGGTTTGCCACGCCACCATGTGCGCTTGCGTGTCGCATCCTACGAATCTTGCCGGGCCTCTCGTTGTACACAAGCTACCTATGAATCCACTCTGTCACCGACCCATCTCATGCAACAACTGCTAGCTTTCGTTTACCCGCTCCTCAAGTCAGATGAGCCAAAAACCCGTTTTCAGCAAACTATTCAAGTGTGGTTTCGCCAAAGAGGTGCTGAATCTACGCCTTTGATTTACCCTCATGGGGCACAGTCGGACAGCAGCTTGCAATGCCTTGACACCTCCGGGCCAAGGCCGGTTGGGCCTTGGATTCAACTTGCAATCGCCCACAAGTGCGCCTGAAGGAAACCCGGGTGCCTGTTCTGGCTAGGCCACATCTGAAAATACCGATGTGAGGCTCCCCCCCCCAAAAAAAACAAAAAAAAACATGGTGGTGTTCCTGCTGGTTTCCTGAGTAGCGACTCCAAAAAAGACAGACCCAAATGGGTATGGGTCAAAGTTGAACCACCAGAAAACCGCAGGTTTTAGCCTATGTTTCCAGTTGCCAGGGTTGCATTTTGGGCACCTATTTTTGACCCACAGCCAAATGGTTTGATTCGAACTCAAGCGAGGGAATGTTTGAGCGAGCCAGGAGTGGGAGGAGCATGTCAAGGACCTGCCCGAGGAGGAAGCGCTGCAAAAACTGGCGCAGAAGTCCAACGACTTTGCCAATCAGAAGGTTCCCGGAAGAGTCATAGCAGTTTTCCGTTTGGACCCCAAACACATTACCCCCAAACACGCCTCCGAAAATCCGAAAATGGGCCTGTTTTTGTCTTTCTGAAGGGGATGTGTTGGGGGGGGGGGGGGGGTTTTGGGGGGTCCCCTTCAGCAGAGACCCAGCATGCAGCTTTCCCATCAAGAGCTGGGGTTAAGACGGACCACCCAATTTTGCCAACTCGGGAAAAAGAGCTCACCCGCCCAAGCGAGCGAGCCATTTTGGAGATGCCGACGACAAAATGGTGCTGCGCACGATGTGCATCCGATTTGATTCTGGGTGTTGGATTTGTTTATTGGTTTGCCTTTTCAGAGCCCACGCGGCCCATGATGCAATGGAAGGTTGTTGTTATGACCTTTGTTTCTGAGGAGCAGGCCAGCAATGGCCTCCCACTCTGAGAGGGAAGACTGACAAAGGGCCATGTGCTGTAGTTCTAGCTTGCCCTAAGCCAGACTGGATTGAAAAGGATTTGCATGGGGCAGCAGTCGCACCAGTGAGTGATAGAGAACAAACACAAAATCCGCATAGACGCAATGAATCTATTCAGGTTATAGCTTTCAGTAAACCACTAACATTGCACAACAACGAATGTTTCATGTACCGAATATTGTTTGTTTCCAGCAGCCGGACGCTCATGCTTCTTGTACACCCAATTTATGGTGGTGCGCTGTTCACCGAGCTGCCCACACATTTCATGGAAGTGCACGTCACATCTATTAGCTATGTGTTTCATTGGCCTGTTTATTTCTATCAGCTTCCCCCTAATTGGCGGTTTGGATTGTTTGGGGATTTGAGGCCCTGGCCCTTGCAGATAAATGGGACACCACCAAACCTCAAACCTCCAAGCCACCAATTCGGCTGCAAACCACCAAATTACATCCACAAAGAAGGGGGGCATAGTTCTGTGCCAACGGGGAATCGTTTAAGGCCCTTTTTGGGTGCAATGGGTGCAATACCCTCAAGTGCAAAACTCCTTTAGCCGCGCAAAAAAGATGGTGGCGCTTTTTCTGAGGTAAACCAACACACCGACATATGTTTTGCATGGTGTCTAAGTCGGGCGCAGGTGAAGGAGTGGTGGGGCTTTGCTTGGCAATTGATTGCCAAGTACGGGCGCCTGGTGATTACCTACAATGCGCCCTGGCTCTCAAGTTAGAAGCCAAAGCAAGGGTCAGGCCTTATTTGGCTGTGGGTCAAAAATAGCGGTCCCTAATGGAACCCTAATGGAACCAAGGACTAAAACCAGCGGTCCCCTGGTGGTTTAATTTTGACCCATATCATACATATCCATTTATTCTCAGTTGTTCAACCTTACCCGGAAGGTTAACCTTTTGTTTCTAGTTGTTGAGCACCCCCGCAGTGTCCGAATTGTACTTTGGTGAGAGTGGCTTTGAATCAACATGCCCAAAAGATGGGGGTCCATGGTTCCTATGGGCGTGTCTTTCTTGGATCTTTTTTTTTTGGAGTAAAGGGGAAGCAAAAAGAATACCCATCTCGGGAAGTCCCTGTTATTGAGGCACGCTCAAAGGAAAGACTTGGGGTTGGTAGGGATGGTCAACCTCTTGGCGGGTTTAGAAAACCATTGCAAGGGGTACCAAGGGAGCTACTATGGACAGGACATCGATGGATTCGTTTTCAAAGTTTGGTCCTCTTTCAATGACATCTGCTTGCTTTTTTTGGGCCCCAAGTTCCTGGGCAAGATTAGAAAACAAGTTGGGGGACTTTTCTTGGCCAACCCTCTCCGGAAGTGAGTTTTACAAGGTAGTCCACAAAGTGCAGTGTTCTAAAGGAGTTCACGAGTTGCTCGGAAGCGTTGGCTGCCTGGACAAACGACATGCAGCCCAGATCGCACGCCATCGGAGCAAGCTACAGATAGACAAGCGAGGTTTTTCTTTGCGCTTTTGTTCCAGGGCGAACAAGTCTGAACTGCAGGCTTATGAATGGTGCGTCGAGACAGGCTTACTGCAGGGTGGCAGGGACCCATCAGGACCCATCAGTTTGGCGGCGCCACTTGCTGGAGCGAGGCTTGCTGCGTGGATGTAAGACGGCCCATATGCACATGCATTGGTGGCTGTATTGCCGCAGTACGGAACACATCGGTAAGGAAGACGTTGTGCCTGTTCTGGTTGCTCAGGTCAGGAAGAGAGACAAAGGGCGGGACAAAGTGCTGGTCAAGAAGCATGGTGAGCTCCTCCCCAGCTTAGCCATGCCGACAAGTCAGGCGTTGGATCCACCAACTGGGCAGTAGTTTAGACCCTTCGCCACGGCCAGGGTTTCACACATGTTTCTGAAGAAGTCTTTGCGTGTTCGCTGCGTGGGACTCACTTGACCAGACCCTTGAACATTGCTTCACATGTTGTGGGCCTCAACGGCAGAGGCCAGCTTCATCGGCTTGGCGATCGTGTGACATCCAACCTCGATCAGGCGATCGTTGGTCACAGCTGCGCGTCTTATGGCACCTCCGCAGTATCTGGAATCCAGAGGCTGAGGTGGGGCTTGTGTGTTTCCGATGACTGGCAAGTTCTCCGTCGACCATGTGGTGATTCCTGCCAAAGCTGCCCGCATCGGGAATCGGGCTCACCTGGCCTCGGTTCGCCTTCAGGGGCGCGACTTGGCCTCTTCTGCGTGATGAAGAGCTTGTGTTCGTGGCTTCAGCTTCATTCAGCAAGATTTGATGTTCGATGCGCGTCTTTCCTGGACAACGGCAGGGTGCCCGGCATGTCGCACACCTGGATCCTTTTGGCCGCGCAAAATCATGTACCAAAATGGCACTGGCAATTGGAACCAACGACTCAAACCTGCGCTTTGCCCTAGCTCTTTAATTTGGAGCTAGTGCCTCTCGCGCCTCACCGCCTGTTTGCCATCGAGCGGTATTTCTCCCTTCCGGAGGGCGGTCGGCTTTCTTGGGATTTGTTTCCTGTTTTATGGTCGGGCGTCTTTTGGCTCGGCCGGATGGTTATGGTTGTGAACCCCTTCACAGGAATTCAGTTGCAATCATTGTAAGGTGTCTTGTAAAGGGAGGCACACAAAAAGGTTTGGCCATTCCGCAAATAACTTGTTCCACCATAAAAAGGGCACGTTGCTATATGCGGGGAGTAGTGTTCAGGTGGATGCAAGAACTCCCTTAGACCACATGGGTGGTCTTTGTTGAGGGTACATTTCTAGGGGTTGATTCCCCATTCTTTTCAGCCATCGTTCTTTTCAAAACCCAGCCATTTCCCCAGTGCGCTTAGTGGTTTTCTAGAAAGAAGGATCCGTGGAAAGAATGGGGAAGCTACCCCTAGAACATTCCTTGTTGGGTCCAAATTCTACAAAAGGCACACGCGCCGACCTCTGAGGAATCTGGTGAGAACGGCGTGGATGCCAACGGGACGCCCCCTGGTTGGGCTCGGGGTCGGTCTCTTTTGGCGGCCCGGAAATTGGAGGGTGGCCCAAACCTTAGTCCTCCAGGCTTTCTCCTTATTCAATTTGGTTTTGGGGGTTTCCCTTTGAATAAACGACCAGTTTCCCAAGGCCGCTAGAGTGGGGGGGTCTGTGAGCACCGCAGCTCTCAGTGCACTGTGGCAATCCTTAGTCAAAATAGCTCGCTGAGCTTAGTCAAAATAGACGTTTTTTGGAGTTGGTGCCATCCGTTTCTTGGAGTTGGCGGCCTTTTTTGATGGCTGTTTAAATGGACACCAAGAGGAAGGCCACCCATTTTCGGATGTCCTAAGCAAAAGACACCCAGAGGAAGACACCCATTTTGGGTGGTTTTAATGGACACCAAGAGGAAGACCACCCATTTTCTGAGGTCCCAAGAAAACACAATCACCCAGTTAACGGCGAAGCGAAGCGAGGTATCCGGCCTGGTGGCTGGAGAGCCCAGATGTGGGCTTCACGCTTTGGACACCCACCGGGCCCTGGCACGGCGTGGTTGACAGGCGCGAGAGAGAGAGAGCTCTGTGGCCAGTTTCTTGCGTCGCCCCGGCCTTCTGAGCTTCCATTTGCTGAAGTTGTTTTGTTTTTGTTTTTTTAGTTTCCCTGGTTAGTTTTGAAGGAAACCTTTCACTACTGGGATCTGTTTTTTCCAGGCGGCTTAAGCAAATGCAAGTTAGGGAAAGTAAAAGGAGGCTGCTCGAAGTGGTTCAAAGATGCTGAAACAAGGGGTTAGCCCGGCACGCTTGGCTTCCGGCAATGGAAAATAGACTCAACTCTGTGTGTGAAACATGCGAATGAACTGTTCTGGCTGGGGCTTGCAGTGCTTCAGATCTTCCCAATTCGTGTAGGTGTCCAGCATTTTACTTAAGAGGTTGTGCAGTAATTCTTCACATGATTCCAGTCTGAACCGTTGAGTTACGTACCACTTACGCAAGGTCAAGATGGGTTTCTGATTTTCAAGCTGCGAGTCTTTCTGGCCGATCACTCGTAGCGCAGCCCAACGGTACACTTGCGTCAGGCCTGTGGGAAGATGTTTTGCTCGGCAGTCTCGTTGCCAAACGCGCCAAAAGTGCGAAGCAGCATGTCCAGCGCCGGCTGCTTTCAGGATGCCAGGGGTGACGACTCCATCAGAGTCCCCTATACATGGACCACCAACTTTTGGCGCTTGCGTGCGGTGCGGCCAAGGACACGGCAATAAAGTTGGGGGTCTTTACACCTCCCTCAACCACGAATTCGGGCTGAGAATTGCAGATGTCGCCCTTTGGCTTCACGACTCGCTTTGAATTTGTAGTCACTGGACGCAGAGGCTCACTGAGCACAGGAAATTTCTAGAACCATCTCGGGGAACAAACAAAACTTGGCCCTTGGATTCAGATGCTTTGAGGAGGTGTTCGAAGAAAGTCCAAAGGGGTCGATCTTCGCCTCGCAAAGTTTCCATTGCTCCAGACTACCTTCAGCGCCGCTGGGGCTCGCGCCAGATCTGAGATGGGCGCCTTGCCTAGAGTTCTCTGCGCAACGATGTCAGTTACACGCATCAATGTCCCATGAGGTAGTTTGCTTTATCTCAAATCCCCGTTCGAGTTTATGAGTTCTTCTCGGACCCGGGTTGGCCCACAGGAAAGGGACTGGCGCGATCACTCAGCTACACTCAGGAGTCAAGCAGCTTACGGCTTGGATTGAACGGCGCTTCTGGGGCAGTGGCATGAGGTCGGTAAACTCAAAGGTACTTTTGGCAGGAAGGGAGGAATCAATCAAGCTTGGCCTGTGAGCTTGCAAGCTAGCAGGCAAGCAGCTTGCTGTCTCCGTCTTCTGCAACAGTACAGGCGTTGATGGTCTTCACCAAGGGTCTCATGAAGTCACTGGCGCAACACTACACAGGTCACCCGGGATTTCCCACATAGCTGCAGCCCATTCACACGTCCGAATGTTTACCTTTCGAACAAACGGTTGTTTGCCACATGCTCTTTCATCCGGACCACGCGAGTGTAGCAGCTCCTCAAAACCCCTGTGGCAAGGTCCAAATCGCACATCTACTGTGGATGAACGAAATCTTTTTCGCACCACCGACAGAAACCCTGGAATGATTTGATTCCCCTGTAAATACCATGAAACGTGCAGGATGGTTTCCCATGGCTTCCAAGTGGTGCGAACGGATTTCGCAACCATCCACAGCTATGTCTTTCAGTCTGTGGAAGTGAGCTTCCGGTGGCTTCAAACACCTGGTAGCCAACTTAGATTTCGTGAGTCGCTTGGTAATGAGGTTAGGTTGGAATTCTATTTCGGTTGGACTTTTACTTAGATTGTATATGATACAAGGCTGGAATTATAGTTGGAGTTTAGGTTGGAATTATAGTTGGATCATAACACAGGATAGAATTATGGTAGGAGTTTCGGTTGGAATTTAAGTTGGCTCATTATACAATGTTGGAATTATACTTGCAGGTCAGGTTGGAGTTATAGTTGGTGCATAGTGCAAGGTTGGAATTATAGTTGAACGATTAATGGCGTGTGTACTGTGACTCGACCTCTCCCAGCACCCTCTCACTGCACGTGACACTGAGTTTGAGGAAATTGGTGCAGGTACCTTCCAGCTAAGTTTCGCCGTCCTGGTAAAACTGTTTGGATGGTTTAAACATAACATTCTGGGCCAGCTTGACACAGAGTTCCTGTGATGTTGGGGACCTCTGGGTATGTGGTAAAAGGGGGACCCCCAAAATTGGTGGATTCCGGGCTTCCTTT